TGTGTGTGTGTGTATATATAATGTGTGTGTGTGTGTATATATTATATATACATATTATTATCTATCTATCTATCTGTTCGTGTCCTGTGTGAAACCAAAAGTCAAAAATTGAATTTACATATTCTTACATGTTCTTTAAAGGTTCTGTCAGTTCTGTTATGGAATTAACATTTTATTTATGTACTTAAATTATATTCAAGTAGGCTATGTAACATAACTTGAGTATTTATTACACTTTATGTTTGGTATCTGCATTGGTGATGTTTTATTCTGTTGCTATTTCTTTTATGTGGCTTAATAATGATTGTGAATGTCGGTTGGTTTTTTTAAACTTTCTTTGTATATTTTTCTAGTATAGTAAGTTTATAGAGAGGAAGGTGATGGTATATTTGTTTGTTTGTATTTGTCATCAATTGTCTACACAAGCCGTGTGCCATCTATAGAAATTACAATTGATTGTTGGTTTGGACATTATATGGCTAATGTTGATGATGTTATAATAGTGTATATATTGAAATTTAATGCAATTAATTTTGCAGCCCTTTCATTGTACACAGGCACATATCCAATTAGAAAAACTTGTTGTTGATAACCCCCTGTTATTGCCTTTGTTTGGTTTAATTAGATCTCAGAGAAGAAGAGTAATTTGACCTCTTGACATCACAAGAATATTGACTTCCTTGCACAATTACCCTAACTATGTTTTGATTGAACAGTTAATATAAAGTTAAACTTGTGGTGGCTGATGGTATCTAACTAGTGGTGATGGCAAGATAGATATTTATTTTTTAATGATGATAATTAATCTGTAACTGAACCTCTAGATGTTATGAAGAGAGAGCTGGTAGGTTGATTTATAGGATAGATTTAGATCTTATCAACAGATGTCACACGGAAAGTTGTGTGTCTCTGTCTCTGCAGAACAGAGTGTGAGTTATTTAGCTTTTTTATACAATATGAAGATATATATTTCTTTTGGATAATTTCACTGAAGGCTTGTTAGATCATAAGGGGATAGAGGATTGTTATATATATATAAATGCTACAGTGTATCACAAAATCTACACCTGGTGGCTTCAAATGACCTAATGTATCCAAAGCAGGCCCTGTTTGTGAACCCATTTGAAGCTGCTGCCAATCAGTTGAAGGTGTCCAGGCATTTATTAATGTAAGCAAAATCAATATGCATGTATTTGATATGTATCAACTTTATTTTCATGTGCTCTTTAAGTTTAAAAAACTAAGACTGGGTTGTACCAGCAGATTAGTTTTCATCAAAGTTAATAGATTTAACTAAATTTAAAAAATAGTTTAATTAATGTGGAGATGCATGCTTACCTTAAAATAAATAAATAAATAAATTGTGTGCTATATTATCCTCAGCTGAGCCTCAATAAATACCACTGAAGTCTCCTGAAATCTGCTTTGAGTAAGAGTGATTCATCTTTTCGTGAGAGTCATTTCTGTTTATTACGATCATTATTACTTTCCTTATTATTTATTACTTCATTGTCATCCATTTATTTTAGTTTATTTTCCCTGTGTCCTTTTGACCTTCATGGACCTGTATGGAAAAGAAGCATGGGAACACCTTATTTTGTTATCTTTATAATGAATTCTTCACGATAAAATGTGAAAGACTGAGACTGTTTCATAACCAGTAAAAAACTCTTTGTAGTACGCATAACAAAGCACTACATTGTTTTCTATCTAGCTTAAAAAGTTGGTTAGCCTACTCAAGATGCCTCAGCAGAGAAGCCTTCGTAAAAACTGAACTGAGGTTTAAAGAAAGGTTTCAATTTTAAAAGTCCCCCTTCAGTCAAAAACAATTTTTTTGTGATAATTAATCTTTACTGTGCAGAAGTTTAGAAAAATACCTACAAGCATGATTTGTGACATCACAAGTGGTTTGAAAGTCAACCCTGGTCAAGCATTCTGTACTACTCAGTACTCTAACGACAGAAGGCTGGACCTGAGTGGAAACTGAGTCTATTGTCTCTGACTTGTTCAGTTATATTTTATAGTTTCATTTTAGATAGATAGATGCCTCTGAAGTGAGAAGCTATCGTCTGTTCGCTCTCTGCTGTGCTTTGCTATCTAAGAGAAATTTGTAGTAGTAGTAGTAGTTGTAGTAGTAGTAGTAGTAGTAGTTGTTGTTGTTGTTATTGTAGTTGTTTTTGTTGTTGTGTGATTTCACTTGGTCAGAGCTT